TGTAGAATAAGGGATAGTACATTTATTGGGTATTGGGTAATTTGGGTATACGGTCATATAGATTGATGGGTCGTACGTTATTGGGTGTAGAATAAGGGATAGTAGATTTATTGGGTATTGGGTAATTTGGATATACGGCATATAGATTGATGGGTCGTACGTTATTGGGTGTAGACTAAGGGATAGTACATTTATTAGGTAACACTATATGGTTATGTAGATTGATGGGTCGTACGTTATTGGGTGTAGAATAAGGGATAGTACATTTATTGGGTATTGGTAATTTGGGTATACGGTCATGTAGATTGATGGGTCGTACGTTATTGGGTGTAGAGTGGAGGCAGTACATTTATTGGGTAATTTGGGTATACGGTCATGTAGATATAATGGGTCGTACGTTATTGGGTGTAGAATAAGGGATAGTGAGGCATTGGGTAATTTGGGTACGGTCATGTAGATTGATGGGTCGTACGTTATTGGGTGTAGAATGAGGATAGTATTTATTGGGTATTGGGTAATTTAGGTATACGGTCATATAGATTGATGGGTCAGTATAATGGGATAGTGCTCTATTTGGAGATATAGTCATGTAGATAATGGGTAGTACATTATTGAAGAATATGGGTGAGGTACATTTAATGGGTATACGGTAATTAGTATGGTCATATAGATTGATGGGTCGTACGTTATTGGGTGCAGAATAATGGATAGTACATTTATTGGGTAATTTGGGTATAGGCCATGTAGATTGATGGGTCGTGTTATTGGGTGCAGAAGAAGGGATAGTACATTTGTGGGCATTGGGTAATTTGGGTATACGGTCATATAGATTGATGGGTCGTACGTTATTGGGCAAGTAGAAGAAGGGATAGTACATTTATTGGTATTGGAGTAATATAGGTATACGGCATGTAGATTGATGGGTCGTGCTTATTGGTGTAGACTAAGGATAGTACAGTATAATGGGTAGGTACGACCATTAGATTGATGGGTGAGTTATTGGGTAATAGAATAAGGGTAGTACATTTATTGGGTATTATAGGTGATACGGTCATATAGATTAATGGGTCGTACGTTATTGGAATAGAGTGAAGGGCAGTACAATGGGTGGGTACACTATTGTCAGTATATAGATGGGCAGTACGTTAATGGGTGTAGAATAGGGATAGTACATTTATTGGGTATTGGGTAATTTGCAATATACAGTCATATAGATTAATGGGTAGGGGGTTATTGGGTGTAGAAAAAGGGATAGTACACATATTGCCCATGGGTACAGTTAGGATTATACGGTCATATTAGATTGATAGTCCATTACGTTATTAAGATTGTAGAAGAAGTATAGTACATTTATTGGGTATTGGCTAATTTAGATATAGTGAGAGCATATAGATTGATAGGGTCTACCATACGTTATATAGTGAGGAGCAGTATAATGGGTAGTACATTTATTGGGTATTGGGTAATTTGGGTATACGGTCATATAGAGGCATTAATGGACAGTGCGTTATTGGGTGTAATGAGGCAGTAATGGGTAGTTATCTATTAGAGATATAGTGATGCAGTAATAATGGGTATACTCTATGGGTATAGTGAGGCAGAATAATGGGTAGCTTATACACTATTGAAGATATAGTGAGGAGATATAGTGAGGCAGTATAATGGGTAGTGTTCTATTGGAGATATAGTGAGGCATTATAATGGGTAGTGCTCTATTGGAGATATAGTGAGGCAGTATAATGGGTAGTGCTCTATTGGAGATATAGTGAGGCATTATAATGGGTAGTGCTCTATTGGAGATATAGTGAGGCAGTATAAGATATTGGAGTGAGGCAGTATAATGGGTAGTGCTCTATTGGAGATATAGTGAGGCAGTATAATGGGTAGTGCTCTATTGGAGATATAGTGAGGCATTATAATGGGAGGCATTAGGAGATATAGTGAGGCAGTGCTCTATTGGAGATATAGTGAGGCAGTATAATGGGTAGTGCTCTATTGGAGATATAGGTAGGCAGTATAATGGGTAGTACACACTATGAGGCAGTTTGGACACATGGCTTTTAGCAATATTCCAGCAATATCACGGCAGGGGAGAAAATATACAATTGAGGCAGTATAATGGGTAGTACACTATCCATAGATATGTGAGCATATAATGGGTAGTGTTCTATTGGAGCATAGGTAGAGGCAGTATAATGGGTAGTACACTATTGGACTGACTGATGGTTAGTTTTATTGCAGCTTTTAGCAATATTCCAACAATATCACGGCAGGGGACACATGGGCTTCAGAGAATTGGGCTTCACACTATTGAGAGATATGTGAGGCAGTATATATGAGTACACTATTGGAGATATAGTGAGGCAGTATATACGTTGGTATATAGTGTGGGTGGGTAGTGCTCTATTGGAGATATAGTGAGGCAGTATAATGGGTAGTGTTCTATTGGAGATATAGTGAGGCAGTATAATGGGTAGTGCTCTATTGGAGATATAGTGAGGCATATAATGTGAGTGCATTGGTATATAGTGAGGCAGTGGGTAGTACACTATTGGAGATATAGTGAGGCAGTATAATGGGTAGTAAACTATTGGAGATATAGTGAGGCAGTATAATGGGTAGTAAACCATTGAGATATAGTGAGGCAATATGGGTGAGGCAGTATAATGGGTAGTGCTCTATTGGAGATATAGTGAGGCAGTATAATGGGTAGTACACTATTGGAGATATAGTGAGGCAGTATAATGGGTAGTACACTATTGGAGATATAGTGAGGCAGTATAATGGGTAGTGCTCTATTGGAGATATAGTGAGGCAGTATAATATAGGTAGTAAACTATTGGAGATATAGTGAGGCAGTATAATGGGTAGTAAACTATTGGAGATATAGTGAGGAGGGCAGTATAATGGGTAGTACACTATTGGAGATATAGTGAGGCAGTATAATGGGTAGTACACTATTGGAGATATAGTGAGGCAGTATAATGGGTAGTAAACTATTGGAGATATAGTGAGGCAGTATAATGGGTAGTACACTATTGGAGATATAGTGAGGCAGTATAATGGGTAGTATTGGAACTATTGGAGATATAGTGAGGCAGTATAATGGGTAGTACACTATTGGAGATATAGTGAGGCAGTATAATGGGTAGTACACTATTGGAGATATAGTGAGGCAGTATAATGGGTAGTACACTATTGGAGATATAGTGAGGCAGTATAATGGGTAGTAAACTATTGGAGATATAGTGAGGCAGTATAATGGGTAGTACACTATTGGAGATATAGTGAGGCAGTATAATGGGTAGTACACTATTGGAGATATAGTGAGGCAGTATAATGGGTAGTACACTATTGGAGATATAGTGAGGCAGTATAATGGGTAGTACACTATTGGAGATATAGTGAGGGCAGTATAATGGGTAGTACACTATTGGAGATATAGTGAGGCAGTATAATGGGTAGTAAACTATTGGAGATATAGTGAGGCAGTATAACTATTGGAGATATAGTGGGTAGTAAACTATTGGAGATATAGTGAGGCAGTATAATGGGTAGTACACTATTGGAGATATAGTGAGGCAGTATAATGGGTAGTACACTATTGGAGATATAGTGAGGCAGTATAATGGGTAGTACACTATTGGAGATATAGTGAGGCAGTATAATGGGTAGTACACTATTGGAGATATAGTGAGGCAGTATAATGGGTAGTACACTATTGGAGATATAGTGAGGCAGTATAATGGGTAGTACACTATTGGAGATATAGTGAGGCAGTATAATGGGTAGTGCTCTATTGGAGATATAGTGAGGCAGTATAATGGGTAGTAGTTCTATTGGAGATATAGTGAGGCAGTATAATGGGTAGTGCTCTATTGGAGATATAGTGAGGCAGTATAATGGGTAGTACACTATTGGAGATATAGTGAGGCAGTATAATGGGTAGTACACTCATTGGAGATATAGTGAGGCAGTATAATGGGTAGTACACTATTGGAGATATATAGTGAGGCAGTATAATGGGTAGTACACTATTGGAGATATAGTGAGGCAGTATAATGGGTAGTACACTATTGGAGATATAGTGAGGCAGTATAATGGGTAGTACACTATTGGAGATATAGTGAGGCAGTATAATGGGTAGAGGCAGTATAATGGGTACTATTGGAGATATAGTGAGGCAGTATAATGGGATATAGTAGGCAGTATAATGGGTAGTAGCCTATTGGAGATATATAGTGAGGCAGTATAATGGGTAGTAGTACACTGAGGCAGTATAATGGGTATTGGAGGATATAGTGGGTAGGCACTATTGGAGATATAGTGAGGCAGTATAATGGGTAGTACACTATTGGAGATATAGTGAGGCAGTATAATGGGTAGTACTCTATTGGAGATATAGTGAGGCAGTATAATGGGTAGTGCTATTGGAGATATAGTGAGGCAGTATAATGGGTAGTACAGTGAGGTAATCAAATGGGTAGTCTATTGGAGATATAGTGAGGCAGCAGTAATAGGTAGTACCCTATTGGAGATATAGTGAGGCAGTATAATAATAGTGGGTAGTGGAGATATAGTGAGGCAGTATAATGGGTAGTGCTCTATTGGAGATATAGTGAGGCAGTACAATAGGTAGTACACTATTGGAGATATAGGTAGGCAGTATAATGGGTTGCATATTATTCGAGATTGAGTAAGGCAATATCATTTATTTATAGATTATCGGAGATATATATAGTATAACAATATGATAGGTACAAGCTTGCTGATTAGACTCTAAATTCCTTTCCACCCCACGGTAAGTAAAGCGTGTTGATCTTTGTTGACCCACCCCATTCAGATAGAGTCCCCGTGTCTTACATCAGACCGATCAGCACTGTGTTACCTATATATACTTATGAATATTCATGAACCACTATTGTATGGGGATTCACATGATCTACCCAGTGTTGAGGGCGTGATTATCTACCAACGTATATACAGATCCGTTGATGCACACTATATCTCGTGTCACGTTCCTTCATTACTGACATACGTGCCAACTTTTGGTAAGTAGCTCGGCACCTCTGTCGAAAAATCATTTCTAATTCATGTATTGGTACATATGGTTTAAATTAAATATCATATCAGAAAATATAAGAAACATTGTTTTGATGACGTACGGGTGTAAGTGTGTTGTATGATAATATTTAGCTATGCGGGTAAACTATATGCTATGCAGAGGAGACCAAGGGCACGTAACCCGTCGTACACTACTTGACTATACTGGGTGTGAGTCTCGGAATGCCTCCGTCGTACACGTGTATGGACAGATCACCACGTAGTTTACGTCTCTGTTGGTATGTACCAACTACATTCAATATAACACGTGTGAGGGAGTGAATTTAGTTTTACGCCGCACTCAGCAATATCCCAGCTATATGGCGGCGGTCTGTAAATAATTGAGTCGGGAACATACATGCCAGTGAGTCACCCGTGTATGTCAGGATAGCAGCAAGTTATGCCGGTATTTAAAGAAGCTAACATGCTATTTATAACGACACCACGTGTGACAGGTAACGCTTGGACAAAGCGCACCAAGACGACGAGCGAATCAACTTGATTCCTCATTAAAAATGCCTCAATTATATTCTTTAAAAATCGTCAGGACCATATGGAGAATTCCACCGGAGGGTATTGGGGAAGGGTGTTTCATTGGGTTGATGGGGTGTCGGGACGGTTATGCGTCATCACATATCTGTTACCATTATTGTGTGATTCGTTATTGTAAAGACTATATTTTCATGACTTTCGGGCGAGTTAGTAACTGATAATTTAAATAAGAAAAATGATAACCTTCTAACCCAGGCAAGAGCGAGTATTCTACAGTGTCATTAAAGGTCAGGACAGCGGGCGTGTTCTAGTCAGTATAAGTGAGTGAGTTAGGTTTTACGCCGCACTCAGCACTATCCAAGCCGCACTCAGCAATATCCCAGCTATATGGCGGCGGTCTGTAAATAATTGAGTCGGGAACAGACAATCCAGTGATCAATAGCATGAATATCGATCTGCGCATTTGGGAACCGATGACTGTCAACCAAGTCAGCGAACCTGGCCACCTGATCCCGTTAGTCGCCTCTTACGACAAGCATGGCTTACTGAAGATCAATATTCTAACCCGGACCTTCGCGGGTCTAACATATCACGAAGCTCTTAAACGCATTTAGTATTTGGACGAACTACTAGGAGCCGTTGTCCATAGAAGGTGTCATGTATTCATAAATATACCATGTTTTGCAAACGCATAGGTGCAATCGTATTGCATCATTTAAAATACTACAAGGCATTTCACCCCCACTTAACACGACAGGTGAAGGACGCCAGTGTTTATTGTGTAGGTTTGTATATGCCAGTGAGTCACCTGTGTATGTCAGATACAGTGTTATACCGGTATTTAAAGAAGCAATATGCCATTTATAACGACACCACGTGTGACAGGTAATGCTGACAGCGCACCAAGACGACGAGCGAATCACTTGATTCTCATTAAAAATGCTCAATTATATTTTAAAATCGTCAGGACCATATGGAGAATTCACCGGAGGGGTATTGGGGGTAAGGGTGTTTGGCTGGGTTGATGGGTGTCGGGACGGTTATGCGTCATCACATATCTGTTACCACATTGTGTGATCTGCCAGTTGTAAAGACTATATTTTCATGACTTTTCATGAGTTAGTTCCTGATAATTTAAATAAGAAAATGTTAACCTTCTAACCCATAAGAGTGAAAGTATAGTCTACAGTGTCATTAAAGGTCAGGACAGCGGGCGTGTTCAGTCAGTAAAAGTGAGTGAGTTTAGTTTTACGCACTCAGCACTATACCAGCTACATGACCGCGGTCTGTCAATGTAAATGGACAACAACTCCTTGTAGTTCGTCCAACTCCTAAATGCCTTTAAAAACTTCGTACTATATTAATTGAGATAAGTTGGTACATACTAACACAGACGGTAAACTACGTGATGATCTGTCTATGTACGTCTACGACGAGGGCATGCTGAGACCCACGTCCAGAAAAGTCAAGTAGTGTGCGACGGGTTATGTGCCCTTAGTTCCCTCTGTATAGTATATAGTGAGTGAGTGAGTGTGTTTAGTTTTACGCCACACTCAGCAATATCCCAGCTATATGGCGACGGTCTGTAAATAATTGAGTCGGGAACAGACAATCCAGTGATCAACAGCATGAACATCGATCTGTGCATTTCGGAACCGATGACATGTGTCAAATATGTCAGCAAGCCTGACCACCCGATACCGATAGTCGCCTCTTACGACAAGCATGTGTTGCTGAAGATCAATTCTAACCCGGATCTTCACGGGTCCAGTCAGTATCAACGAAGACACTAAAGCAAGTACACTACGCTTTTCACTGGCGCATAGTTTCAGAGGCACGTATATTGGTAAAACTGGCCAAATAATGTCAAGTATAAAGGAAAACAATTTCTTGAGCTAAACCTTAAATGAAATGTTTGACATATCTCGTTTTGGCATGAACACTTACCCGCCCCGGACCCGTACGAAAACTATCCCAATTGCGCAGATTGATGCCCATGCTGTTGATCATTGGATTGTCTGGCCCAGACTCGATTATTTACAGACCGACGCCATATAGTTGAAATATTGCTGCGTAAAACAACACACAAAACCAAAACCGAACCGTTAGGTATGGAAACAGGGCGGTGGGGTAGCCTAGTGGTTAACATTGGCGGATCCAGGGGTGGGGGTGGGGTTAGGGGGATCCCCCGCCTATGGTTAAAGCGTTCGCTCGTCATGCCGAACGCTATAAAAAATAACGTCATGTTCGATTCCCCACTTGGTTACAATGTGTGAAGCCCATTACCGATGTCCCCACCGTGATGTTGCTGGAGTATTGCTAAAAGCGGGATAAAACTATACTCACTCACTCACCCCACGAAAACAGTATCCCAACTTCGGTTGTCCTTAGCAAAGGCTAAACCGCCAATTCTCCCTGGGCTTAGATTTTCGAAGCTCTCTTAGTGCTAAGATAGTCGTAAGTTAATGTTAATGCATGGTACTTACGACTATCTTAGCGCTAAGAGAGCTTCGAAAATCTAGGCCCTGGGCCCCGTTCCTCAAAGCGATCGTAGCGCTACGACAGTCGTAAGTACCATGCATTAGCATTAACTTACGACTATCTTAACTTAACGGCCATTCGAAACAGTTACAACTCTGAGCTAAATGTTAGTAGCATTACATGTACATCCGTAAAACTGTCAGGGCTAACAGTCGGTACGTTAAGTTACGTCGAGTTAGTGTTTGTTACAGAGAGTAAACACCGTGCTCTGCTACAACACAGCTGTCATCCTTGTTGAGTCACTAAATTGTTGAATTTGCATCAGGTTTAACTAACAGCCAGCAGCAACATGTGTGATCAAACTACAACATCATTCAGTTATTTGTAATCAGACACCTATCCTATGCACAACCGTTGGATTTCAATTTCATTATAATGTGTTTGGGGTACATTTCACGTAGATTTTGGCAAATGAACCGCCGACTCATGATCTAGGTGGATTAATACACGTCAGTATCAACATCAGTGAAACAGTAGAGGTACGTGCATTGCATGAAATAACAAACAAGAGGCTTTACTCTTCACAGAGAAAACCCCGTTAATCAGGCTGGATATGTTTGGTTATGCGTGCGTGCGTGCGTGCGTGCGTGCGTGCGTATCTGTTGTTTTAGGCCACACTCAGCAGTATTGCAGCTACGTGACGGTGAAGCTATTTTTAGTAACGATCCCGGCAGTCAGGTTACGATGACCTAACATCCGCCAAGTCTATAGAGTCGATCGTGCGCGCGTTTCGTCGACTCCGTCTACTGACGTCCGGATTAGGGGGTGTCCGTTATAACTGGATTTCACTGTGCGAGTCATATAAACAAGAGAGTATGAGTATATATGCTGAAGGATAATTGTTTACCGCATTCCAGAATGTGAGAAACTTGAACTTTCCGCCATAGAGCTCTGTCCCGACTTTTGTGTACGTGTAGTCATACCATGTCGAGTAGAAGTAGGTTACAAAGAGCCCCACAAACACGCATGTCCGTAAGGCATCCATTGTCGTAAAGTTCAGCGTCCAAAGGTCACACTATCATGGACTCGTGTCGCTGGGTAGTAGCAGTAAGTAGAAATGAGGCTTGTGATGCAATAAATCGGTGTGTACAACTTTATGTTATATATTCCTCACTGATAACCTTTCATCACGGCTTCGTCACATCTGTGGTGGCCTGTCAATGGACTCAAGATTATGGCAATCGCGAAGGTCAGAGGTCACGCGTGCCTCCTCTCGAGAGGCTGTGCAAAGATTGTAGTCCCTTTCGTAAGATATGGATACGGTTTGGTGTGACGGATGTCGTTAGCTGGCTTATTACAGTACATGTATATGGTCTGGTCGTTTATTACAATGGTCGTAGGGCATAAACCTTGTTATGTTGTTGGTTGTTTTAGAATAGGACGTGTGTGTGTGTGTGTCTGTGTGCGCGCGCGTGCGAGCGAGCATGCGTGTGACCCTCATTATAATGACTGATGTAACTGGGACACTTTTAAAAGCGGCATGAGAACCAACGCACTCGTACATCACCTCTCACCACGGGGCGGTGGGGTAGCTTGGTGGTTAAAGCGTTCGTTCGTTCGCCCGGGTTCGATTCCCCACATGGATACAATGTGTTAAGCCCATGTCTGGTGTCCCCCGCCGAGATAATGCTGGAATATTGCTAAAAGCGCCGTAAAACCATACTCACTCTATAAAGCGTCCGATCGTCACGCTGAAGACCCGAGTTCGATTCCCCAAATGGGTACAATGTGTGAAGCCCATTTCTGGTGTCCCCCGCCGTGATATTGCTGGAATATTGCTACAAGCGGCGTAAAACCAAACTCACTCACCTCACACCACAACGTCATTGTTTTTGTTCATGATATCAACCATTGGTTTAGGTTATTCGTCATATACTGTAGGGCGGTGGGGTAGCCTAGTGGTTAAAGCGTTGGCTCGTCACGCCGAAGACCCGGGTTCGATTCCCCACATGGGCACAATGTGTTAAGCCCATTTCTGGTGTCCACCGCCGTGATATTGCTGGAATATTGCTAAAAGTGGCGTAAAACTAAACTCAGTCAGTCAGTCGTCATATACTGTAACCCGACCCTTCTTAGAACCACGCTGGCGTTTTTAAGTAGGGCACTGACCCCGACATTCCATTGTGCTGAAACTTCCTTGTTCTGAGGAATGTATGCACTTCCTGAAAGGTACATACTGCGATCAACGCCGACACACTTAAATCATCAGCAGTTTCCGAAACAAATTCTTATTCACCCAAGTGTAAGTGAATGGATGCCTCCGAATGTAAAACTGCTTTTCGCTTCCTTTCGATCATCGCCTGTCCGGGATATTAATAACATTTGTATTTCATCGCTAATACCTTACTACATACACACATAACTACTGCATAACGTTCAACGGAGCCATGCGACACTATGCACGCCAGCTGCTGCCTAATACACTAGACACGGACAGGAAATCTGCCAGCTTTCTGGTGAATATACACAGTATATATGTCGTTGTAGCTGGCTTGTCAGAGGTCGCTGCCGTCCTGTGTTATCACGGAGAGGTGATATTGGTGCGGGTCTAGAGGTTGCACGTAGATATACTGTCCACTTACCTAACCACAGATAACAGGGCAACCATCTGGTCAGGTAAGTCTCGTGGTGATGCGTATTTTGCAAAATTGACAGTGTGTGTTGTTGGTTAGTGCTAACACGCAAAGAGGACATTCTCCTCGGACTCAGAGGTCACTTTGTACACTGCTTCTCATCTTTGTTAAATGGTTGAGTGTAAATAAAGGTAAGCTGATACATTTACGATTACTGTAATAGTACATAGCAGTGTAATCGTCATTGGAAATCATTTCATAAAGTTTAAATTTGTTATATAGATGAGCGACATTTTATGTATTCTTCTGTTTACCAAATCATTCAATCCGCCTAAGCCAAATGGTATGAAAAAAGCAAATATGTATATTTTGAATTGTGTTTTATTTATATGTCCGACCGCTCTGTCTTAATACGAAACAACTAAGAACATTTACACAACATTAACAATTAAAACAGTTATTTACTTTTTAAATAGTTATTCCTAAACGCATTTTGCTTCATCTCAAAAGTATTTTAACTTCGTATTCATGTTACTGAAAATATACTGTATACCCTGTACGTGATACAGAATTAGCGTCTAGTTTTTCCGAGTTAACCGACAGACCAACACAAATAGTTTCATGTCAAATATACCTTGTAAATCAGGTATAGAAATATATTTAATTCACATTTTGACAGGATAATGGTGAGGAAAAAACCGTAAACCACAAAATCAAAAATATGTGGCCTTGTTTACGTTGTAACGTGATATCTTGTCATATAGTCACTGACAAATTATTCCAACTTTATATTAAGTCGTCTAGCGTAGCCTTCACTCGCAACATGTCACGTTCCCATGATATTTGCCTGTTCCACAGTATTACGTATACAAGGAAGTGGTTTGGAAGTATCTCAACGAGTCATTTGCCTAATGCGTGTAGAAGGATCTAGGCTGCATAAGTACTGTTGTATGAGTGAGTTTAGGTTTACGCCGCTTTTAGCAATATTCCAGCAATATCATGGCGGAGGACATCAGAAATGGGCTTCACACATTGTACCCATGTGGGGAATCGAACCCTGATCTTTGGCGTATCGAACGAACGCTTTAACCACTAGGCCACCCCGCCACCCACAACTGTTGTATGACCAGGGTCCCGACCCACAAAGCATTCGTACAGTTACGACCTGTCGTAACTCTGCAGTTTTACCATTGGCTTAGGACTGTTGTAGCGCTACGAAGCGATCGTAACGTTACGAGCTGTCGTATCTCTGTACTTTATCATTGGCTTACGAATGATATAGCGCTACGAACGTTTTGTGGATCGGGCCTCTGCCCTTTAATTGTTTATATTTCTTCAACATTGCATCCGCGTTGGTATTATATAGACGTTAGTAGTGTTGATACTGGATTGTAACTAACTGCTATGAAATACTGATATGCATCGCTGAGTTTGTGTATATGCATCCATGACATATATATATATTGGTCAAGGTAAACGAGTTGATTCATCGACAGACAATTTAATAATATACGTACATGCTCTAAATCACTGTTAATAAATTTGATATAGCCCCGTCTTGATATGAGTGACGCTATAGATAGATGCTGAACCCGGATCGTAAAGTTTCCTCGGCAGAGGCATTATGTTACAGGGGCTCCTTTCACGAAGCAACCTTTACTAAGGTTAACCTTAACTCCCATTCTTTAACATTGCACTGAGGTTACCTTAGTGACTTACGATCAACTTAGTGCTTCGTGAAAGGAGCCCCTGGACTACAATCTCCTATTTGCCAGGGGCGGTGGGGTAGCCTAATGGTTAAAGCGTTGGCTCGTCACGCCGAAGACCCGGGTTCGAATCCCCACATGGGCACAATGCGTGAAGCCCATTTCTGGTGTCCCCCGCCGTGATGTTGCTGGAATATTGCTAAAAGCGGCGTAAAACCAAACTCAGTCAGTCAGTCCTATTTGCCACATATGGCTTGATATCGACGTGGATTAGACTGAACTGACTGTATGAAAATACGGACCTGCAGTTTGAGAGTAAGATTCGATACGTAAGTCGTTCGTTTCCAGGTCGTTATTACAGTTGTGCCACAGTAGTACATCGTTGTTTTCAGGAATGTTCCTCCATCATGATCTGCAAACGTTTTCTGAAAACGCACTGTGTAGCTTGATTTGAGGTGGACTTGCGTTCACAATGATACCAATTATATACGGATATGCATGCTAGTGTATGTGACAGCGTTCCCTAATCGCAGGTTTTATAGCGTCCATAAACTCATCTTTACAGACATAACACATAAATCACAGATAAAACAAATAAAACAATTTATGTAATATTCTAATTCCAAAATAGCATTTGTAAATAAATACAGCTGAAAATATGCAAGTTAACCGTGTAGAAATTCCCTTCCCAGTTTTAACTATCATTGCACGTTCTAGCTGTGTAAGAGGTTAGGCCAGTACCAGAACAAAAGTGTAAAAACCATTCATTTCTTGACATCACATGAACATCTATACCAATACTCAATTATACACACTTTTAAACAGGGACCGTTTACGGGAGTCACTCCTTTTATTACAAGGGCTGTTATGATAAGAAAGCTGACATTCATTGAACTTTCGGGACGGTGGGGTAGCCCAGTGGTTAAAGCGTTCGCTCGTCACGCCGAAGACCCGGGTTCGATTCCCCACATGGGTACAATGTGTGAAGCCCCCAGCCGTGATATTGCTGGAATATTGCTAAAAGCGGCGTAAAACTAAACTCACTCATTGAACCTTCTCCTGTGTGTATATCTAAGTTACTATCTTCAATATACATATTGGATAAGAAAGATAGGTGGATAGGCCCCTCATTAACATCTGTAAGGCTGCTATCTGTTGGAATATTGTCTTACTGTGTGTGTGTGTGTGTTTGTTCGTTGTTTAACGCCGCACTCAGCAATATTCCAGCTATATGGCGGCAGTCCGTAAATATTCTAGACCAGACAATCCAGTGATCATCAGTATGAACATGGATCTACGCATTTGGGATACGATGGCATGTGTCAACCAAGTCAGCGAGCCTGACCACCCGATCGACCCTGTTACTTGGCATAGGTTGCTGAGACGGATCTTTACGGATCGAATACATGTATTTTCAATCTGGATTAGGGCACTTTCGTGCGGGTTCGGTAGAGGGCAGTTCACATATACTTCACTTTTATATTCGTACGTTTAAAGGACTAATTAAATTTGCGGCGTATATTTCATCTCGTTTCACTGATCTATGTTCCGAATGAAGGTATTTTCCCTCTTGTAACGAATCTTGTAATCTCCAGCCCCTTTTCTATATTTTCTTTAATATGCAGGTGATGTCAGGCTCGTTGACTTGGTTGATGCATGCATGTCATCAGATCCCATTTGCGTAGATCGATGCTTATTGGCATCGACACCAATCACTGCATTGTCTGTCCCAGACTTGAATATTTATACAGACTGGGGTCATATAGCAGGAATGCCCCTTCGTTTGGAGTGAATGAGTTTGGTTTTCGCCGCTTTTAGCAATATTCCAGTGTTATTACTCGCCCGTGTAAGATACTGCAGTGTAATATTTTTACGGCAATATTACACTAGTGTAATACCGCTAGACGTATGACGTCATACTGGTTTACAGTTATGACGTCACAATGCTAATACCTCTGTCACAATGGCATTAGGCCTTGCTTGACTCGCGGAAAGCTGAGAGTCATCACACTGTTAGTAGTATAGGAACTTTCTATCAATTTATATTGGAGAGTAATAAACAGAATACTAAACCCGCTTCCGTGAAATACCATGTTTATTAAACTCGTGAAAGATTTAGTATCAAACTCGCTTTCGCTCGTTTGATACTAAATCATTAACTCGTTTAATAAAAATGGTATTACACGGAAGTTCGTTTAGTATCCTCTATATACTACACCAATCACGCTGGAGCATATCTCGTTTAATGGCGGTTAAACTATCATGCAGGGGTATTACACGCTTGTACAAAGAGCTCGATGTCTACCTTTAATGACACCTGCGTAACACATGTTTGTATCGTATAATGGGATCACAGAGGTCACTTGGTTAACCTTATTGCACTGAAATGATAAATTACATCAGTGTCGGTGTGTCTTCTCTGACCTACCTCTGATATCACAGTGTTGGGTTTGTAAAGTCATTAAGCAGAACGACAATGATCTTCAATGTGGGTAAGTGGGTAAGTCGGGTTTGAACAGACTTTCAGATATGTCCTGGTATGTCAGACTGATGTGGAGGAAAGACCAATGGGGAAGCCTTTGCTTTTACAACCTTGGTGAAAAACATGGTATATGGGTTGACAGTCCAAGTGAGTGAGTGAGTGAGTGAGTGAGTGTAGGTTTACGCCGCTTTTAGCAATATTGTAGCAATATCACGGCGAGGGACACCAGGAATGGGTTTCACACATTGCACCCATGCGGGGAATCGAACTCGGGTCTTCGGCGTGACGAGCGAACGCTTTAACCGCTAGGCTACCTCACCGCCCCGTTGACAGTCCAAGAAACAAGCAGGGCCAACCAGGGCTGAACACACTCGATTATGCACTATAGACCTGTCATCCGTTATTATTTAGATGCAGACATCCTACAGCCCGGACAGAAACCACTGTTTCGTCGCGAGTGAGTGAGTGAGTGACAACAGGGAATGAATTTGTTACACTGTGTTTTCGAAACAAGATAAATTCGCAGAATTTCCCGATGGGGATAAGGGAGATATGAAGAACATGCAACTATTTTCGTTTCTTTTCGATTACATACAAAAGTAACTCGTTGTGGTTCTTTTAATGAAGTACTTGCGTCCGCCCGGAGAGCGGAAGGTCGCGGGTTCGATCCCCGACCGCGTCATACCAAAAGACGTTAAAATATGGTACTTGTTGGTCCCTGCCTGGCGCTCGGCATTAATGGGTACAACAAGGACTGGTCGGCACGGAGTCAGTATAATGTGTCTGAGTGGGGTATTCATGCTTCACTGCGGCATGGTATCTCAGTGGGCTAGCACTATAAAACCAGCTTAAGTCTGGGCTAGTACAAGCAGCCGCACATACACATACACACACATGCGCGTCGTCATACGAGCGAAATATTCTCAAGCACGACGTTAAACCCAAATTCACCTAACCTAATAAAGCACTTTGACCCAAATTATTAGTTGTAGTGTGTTCGTAATTCTTTGTTTGAGTATGGAAGTTACGGTCACCATAGCACTAAGATTTCTTTGTGCAGTTGGACCCGGGCTGCACATATTTTGATAAGATCCAAAAAGAGAATGAATGTGGACGAAGTGCTGTTGCTCGGCATTGGATATACGCCTGAAGTAGAAAATTAAATTTCCTGTTTGATGGTGTACTTTTAACTACAAATATTAAAATGGTTGGAAAAACAGACAGTTGTAAGTGTTGGCTGAAAGTTTCTTGCCTTAAACCAAGCAAATTTCGCCAACCTTTATGGGACATCGATAAAATTACTATGCAACGAATTTTATTCTTCAACAGCTTTACCGAAACTGTGAACCAAATACCGAAAGTACACATTGCCCATATCTGAACAAAATACATGTATATCCAACTGATTTGTATTCTTATGTATAACGCAGAGCCTTCGATATGGTGAAATAAGCTTGCCATAAATGACGAAAATCGATTTTCCTCTCCAAGTTACAAGAGAGGTACATGTCTTCACACACGCACAAGGAACAGGGGGCATAACTCCGCCATGCGTAGCACTAGTCCATTCAAACTCGGCTCGTTTTGGGAGAATTGCCGTGGTGAGCAATAAATTTCGTATTGTTTGTTCACCATTAAGCAAGCAAATATCGATATTAAAATGTGAAATCGTCCTACCCCCAAAAAAAAAAAAAAAGAAGAAGAAGAAAGAAATGAGGCAAAATGGGTGATCCTATATCTTATGTGTCAGGCAATGTAATTTGACTCTTGAGGCACTAGTATTACCATCAAATACAATGAATTACTGAAAGTTTGACAGCTTCTTGTTTTGTAACGGCTACGTCTTTGAGAAAAAAGGACATTTCTGGATTTAGCAATATTAACCTTACCTATTTTTCGTTTATAGAGAAAAACCCGTAAATTTGAGTTCGAAAATTTTCGATACCCATTACAATACCGCTTTCACCATGTTCATCTAGTCCTTGAAATGAAAGAAAATAATTTGTTCAGTTTAATATAGCAAGACGCACACCTGTTAAACATCAATATTACATACTGACTCAAAAAGAAATCTAAACAATAAATTTCATATCTAATATCGGACGGTCCTCTATTTCACTTTGCCAATATTTCCCTTCGTGTCGTGGTATTACACATTGATTCTAAGAATAAAGGATTCTTAAAACGCCTTTTTAATGTGGACATATCACAAATAATGGTTTAATTTTCGCCCAGCATATTGGATAGACGCGTTCAGTGTATTTCAGTTTTACAGACAGTAAACATATGTATAGCTGGTGAGGTGAAATTGGGTTTAACGTCGTGCTTGAGAATATTTCGCTCATATGACGACGTGCATGCGTGTGTATGTGTATTTGCGGCTGCTTGTACTAGCCCAGACTTAAGCTGGTTTTATAGTGCTAGCCCACTGAGATACCATGCCACAGTGGAGCATGAATACCCAACTCAGACACATTATACTGACTCCGTGCCGACCAGTCCTTGTTGTACCCATTAATGCCGAGCGCCAGGCAGGGACCAACAAGTACCATATTTTAACGTCTATTGGTATGACGCGGTCGGGGATCGAACCCGCGACCTTCCGCTCTCCGGGCGGACGCTCTAACCACTACACCACGGAGGCGGTCGACAGATGTATAGCATTTGAATTCAACATTTAAGAAACTGTGGAATATGATACAATTATGCAAAACGCGGAGTAATCTCTACTTCATTTGTGATTAAATATGTATCCGGAATATATGTTCTGTCAATTAAACGGCCACAACAGTTTTCAAAATTGGATCCTTCTGATGATGTATGGATGTAATTATAGCGGACCCGGATAAGTCACTGTTCAGGCCCGTTCTCGTCAGGAGACAGATTTTCATGACTGGCTGCGCCCATAGTTAAATACACTATTCATTGTTAAATTTGTTCATGTACATTGCTTGCCATCAAATTGTATGTATAAACCAACACACGAATTTTTATAAATGTATAAGGACTTCATGAATGAAATACATAGTAACTCATAGCGTATACAAAATATGATTTCTTTTATTGAAGTAATACATTCAGTTTCGCTTGCTAGTTAAATTGAAATGTTTATTCATATGGTGTGGATGAGACCTGCATCACACGATTGCTTGGCGGTGGGCCCGTCTTAATAAGTTTGTTCGTTTGTTTAACACCGCACTCAGCAATATTCCAGCCATATGGCGGCGGTATGTAAATAATTGTGTCTGGACCAGACAACCCAGTGATCAACAGCATAAGCCTCGATCTGCTGAGATACGATGACAAGTGTCAACCAAATCAGCGAGCCGACCATTTCTTTCAAAAACAATTTATTTATCAACACATTACATGCAATTAAAAAGACGTTGCAGATACCCCCCTAACTACGGATTATCTGTCTCTCTCTTTCTCTCTCTGTGTCTCTATCTGTCTGTCTCTCTCTCCTATAGCAAGTGAAAAAAGAACACATCTACATATCATAACGTATTCGTCTATTAATTGCCGTATTTTCATTCATATCACGTTGCTGTATTTAATAATGGACTATTTTGTGTACGTGTTTCCTTGTTTGTCTCACTAAACAACCATTTCTGAAAAAAACCAACATAGATGAACACTCTTCATTCCCGACACGACGCGAAACAAGTGGGATAATCTAGTTACCCCTTGTAACTTCCCTAGCTGTGTGCATTCTTTGCTTGAGCTATGCATCTCCTTTGTTTGCAGAATTTACTGTTGTTAGTTGACTGGGAACAGTTCCGTGGACGGTTACAAGGACTGAATTAAAAACAGATCATCTGCATTCATGTGGTCCATCATTAATCAACGAATGCACTATTTGTTGTATTGCAGTGCTGGAGCATCTCTAATTCCTCGCCAGGGGGCGGATTCTTTGTTAGAGGGTTCAAAGTTAGACGACACCGGTGAAATCAGCAGTAGCAGTCGACCAAGATTGTTCCATACATTCTGTGATATAAACTACGATGGTTCATCCAACATATGCAGGATGTTGGCTGACAGAACCAATCGCAAATTTAGTCGGACTACCAGTCGACCAGGTTTGTAAATACTTCCTATTTTACCTCTAAAGCAAGAAATAATGAGACACACGGACCCCGAAACGGGCCAATTTTCTTCACGAATTATCATCTTGTTCTTCATATCAGCTGTTCTGCGATTGCCGTTCTTTTTTTTCAGCAGCAAACATATAATATATTTCACGAAAAACGAACTAGTTATTTCGTAAATTCTCACATCACCGTTGTAATAACGGTACAGGAATCAATACAAGTGTGGGTCCAAACACGTCTATCATCTGTCAAGACAAGGCATACTCGATCCTATTGTTAGCAAAAAAATGTATTGTTACATTGCATAACCTACTAGGCCTAAATATGAGACTTAACAAGGTCAAAACGTATACAGGAAACACTGTCAGAGTAAATCTAACTGTTGAAACGGGTTTTATGTCTAATTTCAATGCGAATGGGGTCATTGAGGCAAATCAAAACAAATATGTGGGGAGTGATGCATAACAGCAGAGCACAATAACTGACTTTGTGCTACCTCACATTCTCTGCTCGGTGTGCTCGACTCCAAATGTTGTTAACCTGTTAAATATGTATCGTTATTGTTTGATGCTGCCTGTAATATATTATTTACGTAAAATTTGAATTAGGAGAGGTGAATGTGCTGACAACAGTGTGAATAACAGAAAGAGGATAGGCACTGTTATTTGAATCTGTAACATTGATATGGCCTATATCTTGGTCATATTCAATCGTATTATCAAATATAATATCTATTTTGGTTAGTTTTATTTAACCATCCATGTGTCTAATTATACTGATAAGGCAATGGTAATACAAAGCTTAAATTAATGGAAGTATGATCTGTCATTGTTACCATGGTCACATAGAGCCGGTGCATGTGATATTATTTAAAACAGGGGTTGTGATTGAAGAAGTACTGCTTTAGACAAAGTGGAATCAATCAAGGTCGGAAGAATTCTTTTTAAGATTTGAAAATGGTTTCCTGTGTCATGTTTAGGTGTGGTTTTGCAGGAAAATCCATGACTTGATTTAATACCAACTGTTGTGGTTGCTGGGCGTGGCTAGTTCAGGGTGTCCCAGAACCCTATCTCTGTCTTTTACAGCATTGGTTTTGTGTAGTTATCAATGTGCAGGTTTGAACCATGCAAACAGTGTGTTCGTAGTGATTTAACCTTTCATTTTCAGATTTGCAGCTATGATAGGGTTCAGAGGTCCTAATATACTCAAATGTAAAAAAAATGTATTTGTATGATATTACCAAATATAAACCACATAAATGATGTTGATTCTTTTAAGGGGCAGTGGGATAGCCTAGTGGTTAAAGTGTTCGCTCGTCACGCCGAGATCCAAGTTCGATTCCCCACATGGTACAGTGTGTGAAGCCCATTTCTGGTGTCTACCACCATGATATTGCTGGAATAGTGCTAAAAGCAGTGTAAAACTAAACTCACTCGCTGATTCTTTTAATGATAACATTATGTAAAAAGAAATAACGAACACCGTGGGCCCTGATTACATGTTTAAGTACCTATGAAGATCTGGGTTAGAACTGATCTTCAGGAACTCATCCGTATTGTAAGAGGCTGCTAACAGGATCATGCTTGTCGACTTGGTAGGTGTATGCAAGACAAATCTTTTGGGTAACAACCTCTTGATTTATTTTTCACAACGTTTCATCAATATATATATACTGTACTGTTCACTATCGCCATTATCCACCTGAAGAAGGGGCAAGAACCAGCCCAGAAATGTGAAAAATAAATCAAGAAGTTGTTATCCATAAGATTTGTCTTGCACTACTACACCAACTTCTAAATGCCTTTGAAGAATTTGGTGGGTGTATGTCATCATATCGCAACTGCATAGATCTGACCCGTGAAGATCCGTGTTAGAATTGATCTTCAGCAACTCATGCTTGTCGTAAGAGGCGACTAAAGTGATCGAGTGTTTAGGCTCACTGACTTGGTTGATCACTGGATTGTCTGGTCCAGACGCAATTATTTACAGACCGTTGCCACATAGCTGGAATATTGCTGAGTGTGGTGTTAAACAACAACCAAACCAAAAGCATAGATAAATGCTCATGACATCAATCACTGGATTATCTGACATTTTTTACACAGTGCAATCATGAGCTGATAAATTGCTGTGTGGTGTCATACAAAACACAAAATAAAAAAGCTCGCAAATCTTGCTGGTTATACACATGTGTCCTTGACTTTTTATAAAGAGATTAATAGTTCCATTTCCCTGTTGTCATGATTGTTTCAGCAGATGTCTAATTACTGTAATATCAAATGACAACATGACCTATTGTACTCTTCCACAGATGGTATAGCCATGATTACTTGTCCATAATATCCTTTCAGTCACATAGATGACCTACTATTTATGAGTAGTGACAACAATATACTTCCTGTATATGACAATAGTTAAAGTTGATTAACTTGTATCCACACAACATTAGTCAGTCTAGCTTGGTATAATTGATGATGTATTTAAGCATGGGAAAGCATTGTCCCTTGATCTGGGGTGACCTAACAAGTATGTAAGGTCAGACATGAATGTCAGATGATCCTTTTAATGCTATCAGGTGTTAAGTACTATTGCCTCACTTCAGCTACAAACACTTTATATTTAAGGGTCCTTAGATTCAAGCATTATATAATTTATAGCGGGACTATAGCAGTGTGTAGTGAATCCTTATACAAATGAAAAACAATACATGGTGGAGGCATGTCAAGGGTCCCTACATTCAAATATCACATGAAATGTCAACAAATGATAACAATTAATGGTTAGGGCCCTCAGATTAGAGATGGACTAGTTCTTTAATTTGACGTTAAATACAAGATATACAACTATTCCTTTCTACAAGACAGGCAGGTCATATGAACAGGAAACTGAAATTTGTATGAACAATACATTTTTGCTATTTATGTTTCACATGACTGTATTCTTGAAATGATATCAAATTTCAATTCCTGGGGAAATCCTTTATGTGCCTGAATACAAAACACTTGTTTCTGATGCTTAAGAAAATAATGTAAACAACGTGTTACTACATGTGATCAAATCTACTCACTACGACCCACTTATTTTCTGCAGTATCTATTCAGCTCATCTTTATGATGACCTTTGAATAATTGGCCAGAAGATCGATGATGATCGACACCTTATCGCAACAGGTTCATACTTTTCATTGACTACTTCAGAAATCTACCTGTCACTTTCGTAGCCATTTCGACATAATGCAGCTGCAGTAATTGTAGAATGATTCCCTGCTACCATGACTGATCTACTGATGCAGTTCTTGACAGACATTCCTCATCCATTGCTGATATGATTTGAATCTAAGATGTACTGTCAATCAATTTAAAGCCTACCGATGTTCATGTGTCATCATTTGATTATGAAGATCTGGGTTAAGAATTGGTCTTCAGTAACCCATGCTTGTTGTAAGAGGCGACTAACAGGATCGGGTGTTTAGGTTCGCTGACTTGGTTGATCACTGGATTGTCTGGTCCAGACTCAATTATTTACAGACCGCTGCCACATAGCTGGAATATTGCTGAGTGTGGTGTTAAACAACAACCAAACCAAAAGCATAGATAAATGCTCATGACATCAATCACTGGATTATCTGACATTTTTCTAAACAGTGCAATCATGAACTGATAAATTGCTGTGGTGTCAAACAACAAACAAAATAAAAAACTCACAAATCTTGCTGGTTATACACTATGTCCTTGACTTTTCTAAAGAGATTAATAGTTCCATTTCCCTGTTGTCATGATTGTTTCAGCAGATGTCTAATTACTGTAATATCAAATGACAACATGACCTATTGTACTCTTCCACAGTTGGTATAGCCATGATTACTTGTCCATAATATCCTTTCAGTCACATAGATGACCTACTATTTATGAGTAGTGACAACAATATACTTCCTGTATATGACAATAGTTAAAAGTTGATTAACTTGTATCCACACAACATTAGTCAGTCTAGCTTGGTATAATTAATGATGTATTTAAGCATGGAAAGCATTGTCCCTTGATCTGGGGTGACCTAACAAGTATGTAAGGTCAGACATGAATGTCAGATGATCCTTTTAATGCTATCAGGTGTTAAGTACTATTGCCTCACTTCAGCTACAAACACTTTATATTTAAGGGTCCTTAGATTCAAGCATTATATAATTTATAGTGGGACTATAGCTGTGTGTAGTGAATCCTTATACAAATGAAAAACAATACATGGTGGAGGCATGTCAAGGGTCCCCTACATTCAAATATCACATGAAATGTCAACAAATGATAACAATTAATGGTTAGGGCCCTCAGATTAGAGATGGACTAGTTCTTAAATGTGACGTTAAATACAAGATATACAACTATTCCTTTCTACAAGACAGGCAGGTCATATGAACAGGAAACTGAAATTTGTATGAACAATACATTTTTGCTATTTATGTTTCACATGACTGTATTCTTGAAATGATATCAAATTTCAATTCCTGGGGAAATCCTTTATGTGCCTGAATACAAAACACTTGTTTCTGATGCTTAAGAAAATAATGTAAACAACGTGTTACTACATGTGATCAAATCTACTCACTACGACCCACTTATTTTCTGCAGTATCTATTCAGCTCATCTTTATGATGACCTTTGAATAATTGGCCAGAAGATCGATGATGATCGACACCTTATCGCAACAGGTTCATACTTTTCATTGACTACTTCAGAAATCTACCTGTCACTTTCGTAGCCATTTCGACATAATGCAGCTGCAGTAATTGTAGAATGATTCCCTGCTACCATGACTGATCTACTGATGCAGTTCTTGACAGACATTCCTCATCCATTGCTGATATGATTTGAATCTAAGATGTACTGTCAATCAATTTAAGCCTACCGATGTTCATGTGTCATCATTTGATTATGAAGATCTGGGTTAAAATTGGTCTTCAGTAACCCATGCTTGTTGTAAGAGGCGACTAACAGGATCGGGTGGTCAGGTTCGCTGACTTGGTTGACATATTCATCATATCCCAATTGCGTTGATCAATGCTCATGCTGTTTATAACTGCATTGTCTGGCCCAGACTCGATTATTTACAGACCAGCGCCATATAGCTGGAATATTGCTGAGTGCGATGTACACAACAAACCAACCAACCACTTGATTGTGAGGAACCATATTTTCCTTCACACACTCCCAGAATGCATGAATATTTCATCTTAACGAAAGAGTTTGATCTGCGTATGGTTTGATCATAGTTGTATTGAGTTAGACTGAAATGGAATTATGGAAATATATACCAAATTGAGTCAAATAAGAACATGAAACAAACCAGTGGTTGAGAATTACTATTGACTGAAGCCGTGTGCTGGTAATCCAGACTGTAGCATGTCTACTCATACTGGTCATTATGCATTACGGTCTAGCAAGCTTAGCACATAACAGTGCATTTGTTCAAATTGGAAACTGCAGAAAACGATCCCGAAGAGCATGTTCTTGGCCCACACTAGTACAGTAACCTTCGTAGACCAATCAAGCTGCTTCATCAGTGGCACTGGACTGTTACGTCTACAGAATGTATATATGGTATAGTGCCAAATAAAAGATTGATGACTTTAATTTTGTGGACATTGAACATGTAAACGAAAGGAAATAAGTATTGATACGAGATGGTTATATGCATGTTTTTATGTTCCTCTCCCTCTCAGGATCCCGGTCTCTTTAAGAAGAAAAAATTGCTTATAAAAACAAAAATATTCTATTCAAGGTACTGACTGGGTACTTTTTTCATAATTTGTCATAAATACCATAATCAGCTCATCTGGCCTGACCAAAATCGGAAAGTCTTAGAGCCTGTTGAGCTTTTACTGTGTCCATTGACATGTTCAATGCTGGATAGTTGCAGCTTAAATTTCAACATGGCTGTCTGGTTATGCCTGTAGCCATCTTGTATTTCAGAATGAATACTAATTCTTTTCTCTGTATAAACTATTACTGTTGTGGAATGTTTATATATCCTGTTGTTTCTGAGCTGCAATGGTGGATCGGAAGCCATGGGTTGTACTATTGAGTATATATTTGTATTTAGTGGTGAACGTCTTTTGATATAATTGAAATTTCTGAATCAATGTGGAAAAGGAATGTGGCTGATTTGTCTTTTGAAGGCTGACATCTGACTGGCTCAAGAGCCCACACACCATACAATCAGATAGGGCCATCAAAGGTCGCTCAAGGTGTCATCAGACCTTAGTGCAGACAGATATCACTCTGGAGTAAAGACACAACGTTTTATCAAAGTGTCCACACATTTTCCAAGATTTTGTATTGTATTGAACAATTTGATATTATTGAGTCTGACATGAGACAGATTCCATGTCTCAAATCTTAACACAGACAGGTCTTGTATCACAGTAAAAGTTCCTATTTTAGTGTGATTGACATGACACAACATTTTATGTTGTCTACAAATCTTAAAGGAGATTGGTATTGTGTCGGATAGAAAGATCTGACTTAAATGAGACTGACTCAGGGCTCCAGATAATTTTTGAACACCAGGAGTACGTACTCCTTATTTTTTCAATATAGGAGTACTCGAAAACCTTAAGCCTACATTTAGAGTACTGAATGGAATTTAATGGAGTATCAGTAATCTTGTGTTTCGTTTCATATATGCACCACAACATTGCTAGTCTTGTGTAAACAGGTCAATAAACAATAAGACAATACTTTTTCAGATAAATACGTCTGTAAATGACTCTAACACCGTACAACATTGCCATGTTGGTATCTGCTACGTTTTATAAATTATTTCCTACCGTATCGTGCAATTTTTTTATCCGTGCATACGCCGATACAGCCCTTATCTGGAGCCCTGTGACTTGAGACAACATTTTATGTTGTCTACAAATCTTAAAGGAGATTAGTATTGTGTTGGATCCGACTTAAATGAGACTGACATGAGACAAATTCTATATAGGTGTCCACAAATCTTAATGCAGACAGGTATCAAGTAAAAGATTTTGATATATTTTAATAACAGATTGCACAATCTTAGTGCAGACAGATTTCACATTGAAGTAAAGATTTTATGTCAGTGAGATTGACATGACATGACGTTTTATGGAAGTCTCCTCAGATCTTATCAAGACAGGCATTTGTTTGGTGTGGAAGTTCTGATTTTATTGAGAAATTTATGACACAACATTCTATGCAGACAGGTATGAAGTAAAAGATTTTGCTATATTTTAATAACAGATTGCACAAGCTTCAACCTTCTCTCTGTGTGTTTCAGTTCAACTTCATGAGCAGCCAGTTTCTGGGTATTTTCTTTGGGCTGTTCTTCCACCTCAAGCTCCAGCCACCTGACACGTCCCCCACACTCAGGCACATCTACTGTCTCGTTGTGGGGCTCACCACGGTCTGGTTCTGTAACGGATGGTAAGTTTACCTGCCTGCTTTACTGATCAGAAAGAAAGAAATGTTCCTCTTGAAATATGTCACAAGCTATGACAGCATGATTCTTGTCCATCATGTTTCACTGTCGGATGTACAGAAGGGTTATGTTGGGTGGATGTGCAGTGCATGCTGTGTTGAGTGAGCCTGTGTTTCCTCAGATGGGGAGGTGAGGTAGCCTTGTGGTTAAAGTGTTCGCCCATAATGGCAAAGACCCAGGTTCAATTCCCCACATAGGTTCAATGTGTGAAGCCCATTTTGGGTGTCGTCTGCCATGATATTGCTGGAATATTGCTAAAAGCAGCATAAAATTAAACACACTCTTTCACCTTCCTCAGATGCTTGGCATAAGTCCCTGTCATGTGTTTTTGTTTGTGACTTGGATATTGTGTGCAGGCAGCCTTTTCAATAGACTTGGCTAAACTGTTCATCCTATTTTGTCATATTTGTGAATATGTATTGCAACTTTGCCTTTTTACAGGGGAGATGTAGTTTTATTACTGTTTAACAATGTTTAACCAGTGCAGTTGTCGCTGGGTATAAACTAGTAGATGATTGTAAAACAACAACCATGCTATGCAAAATACATGGCATATCTGACATTTTGTTTTTTAGTGTTAATATTTTAACCATTATCAATTTATAATTCCAGTTTAGCATGTTTAGCAAGGTGCAGTCTGTGTTATAGACAGTAGAAAACCATTATTACATCTGGAGTTTATGTAACACAGTACAACCTGTGTCTGAAGTTAATGGTTTCCGTGATCCATCATGCACTCACTGTTGAATGGACATGTTGTGACATGTCGTGTCTGGGCACAGTCAGTGGTGTGTGCACGTGCCCCTGTTGTCAAAGGTGCTGCAATTCTCCATACAGAGTTATGTCCCCTCAAGCATGTAACGAGTGCCATTATCCAAAGATTTTGATCCCAGATTCCTAGGTCTGTCAGCTCCCTATCCATGTTCCTTGGTGCGACTGAATTATAAATGTTCATGCTTTCCTCCCACTAACATGGGAGATAACTGGAATTCTGTTCTAAGAAGCATTAAACCAACTCACTTATTTACTACTGATAGTGTAATGCCCGTGTACTGATGATTTACCTTCACAGATGTATTAGACACCGTGGTCATGGAGACAGAGGTACAGATAAGCTACGTATATTTATGTGAAACTCAATTCCTGTTAAGTCTATTGCGTACACGTACTCTTGAATGTTTGTAAATACTCAATAAATTTGTGCGTACACACAAAAATGTCATATCTTAGCTTGTGTACTGTGGATAGATAAAATAACTGAGGTATATTGAGAGGTTCTATTTCAACACATGAACTTGGCAACTTGCAGTCTTTCTTATCGTTTTCATATTACAGATCAAATATAAATAACAAACACGAAAACCAACATTTAACCTTTATATTATTTGTACAATTAATGGAAAATGGCAAAATACCCAATTGAGTTTGAGTGAGGTGGGTACAGTTTACATGTATTTGGTAACTCAAAGGAAAATTAGAATACCCAATTGAGATGAACACAAGTGAGTACATAACTCAATGACCCAAACACTTATCTGTAACTCTGTGGATAGTTTGGTCAAACTTTACACTGCTATATGTGCATAAATACGGACAAAGATCATTCACTAGACTGGGGGCCAGAGAAATAGTTTGAGTTTATCATATCTGACCTGACCTTATGACACTGACCAATCAATGTTTTTTCCTATTTGATGCTTTGTGTAGTATGAACGTATGCATATGAACGTGATAAAACTTCTTATGTTAGGTAAGTTTGGTTTCTTCAAACAAAAATAGTCTGATTTAAAATGTTATATTAATGTATTTCTAACTCTTTGGACAATTAATTGAGCTCAGGACAATCAGGATTTTGACACATCCAGTCTACCACGTATGGGTTAAAGTACTGGGAAATATAGTAAGAATTTGGCTGAACAAGACTGAGGGTTTGAATCAGCTGTGGATTCTTCTACACACTGGAGTTTGAGAAACAGAATTTGATTATTACTGATCATGCTGATCCAGACTAGGTCCTCGTATGATCACAAGTTGTAATAATAAGTTGTATCATGAATCTTCTTGTTAAATGTTGATTGTGAGTTTGTTTGGAGACAGTTTAAATGTTTTGCATAATTCAGGGCTTGGGAAAGGCAGGGGCCATGGGCCATTTTGCACATTAGAATAAAAAATGGCCCATTAAAATTTTGAAGTTTACTATTGATACAAGGGCAGTGGTGCATCCTAAATTCAGTAAATGGCTAATATATAATCCTGAAAATGGTCCATTGTCAAAGTTCTCTATCCCAATCCCTGATAATTTGATGACAAGCAATATTGCATGGTGATGAAACTGTAGATCATTTGCTGTCTGGAAAAGTTTAGATTTATGTGACCTTGAATATTGACCTTTCGATGTTTAGATGATACATGGCACTGACACTTGATTCTATATTTAGTACGGTCCTTATGGTGATTCCACAGGATAATATGTCTCCAATATCTTGTTAGCTCCTCACTGCTGTGTATTTGGTTATCTCAGTGTGTGATGTGGGGATTGTATAAAAAGACCCTTTTGTGCCTCGACATTGTTGATCAGTATTGCCACCATCATCTGTGAACCTCTGGTCACGATAATGACAGAAACAGAATTGATGAAATTATTATAATCAACTCTGAGACTTTGAGACTGAAATATGGTAATACTTAAAAGAACCTTCTTTGTCCACTTCCAAGGATATTGAAAATGTTAAATCAAATTATACTATATAGTTATCTTGTGTTCGAGACGTTTTGACCAGCCATTGCCACTATAATTTGAACCCTGAATATTATGTGCAGCGTCCATGTGTTATACAACGCATTATACCACCAGCCTATCGGGTGTGTTACTTACTGTTAATTATTAAGTAGTTAATCTCACACAGCAGGGTTCACAGACCCTTGTATTACCATGATTAGAGTGCCTAGGGCACTGTTAAAATAGAAGTTTTGTTGCCTGAAGGGCAGAATAAAATTGAAATCATATTTTTCTTTTATAGAATTACCTTGGGATGATGTGTATTATAGTGAGCCAGTAATTAATGTACTTTTGTGACAAGTACTGTAGATAAACACATGAAATGAAGACATTTCTGAACACTATTAACAAAAAGGATTTTAATTTTAATTTTGTTGGAATGTATTCTTGTTGGCCTAATACCTAATGCTAATCACTAGCCATTGAACTTGAAGTAAGGAAGTCCAGTTTATTAAGATTCTTATGTATCCTTGAGATCCTTCGTGCTATTGAAAATGTTAAATCAAATTATAAAAAATAAAATTTAAACCTTAACATGTTTTATGACTGCCCCGTGGCATTATATAAGTTAAATACCGGTACACTTCCTACTTAGTGTTTCTAATTTTCTATATTCTACTCTGAGAGATTTGTTATAGGGACTAATTCAGGACAGCCATCGTCCAAATATTTAGAAAGTAAAAAACTATGTACTCAAAACATGTGAGACTTTATTGTAATTATTAATATGATGCTAATCTGTATTCTATGTAATCCTTATCACTTCTGCATTGTACATTGACTTGTCAGGCAATTAATTACTGTATATAACATTTATAACCTAACTGGTCATCCCCCTTGGCCGTGTCTGCCATCGCATCAACTGGTCAAGGAAGTGCTATTGTTCTTCTATCTGTCCATTGTTGAGTCGTCGCCTGTCCATTGTTGTCAAGAACTGTATATATATGCTCACATATACATTGTCAGAGGAGAATGAGTCTGGTATTCCGACTGTCTGTGTAGGGACAACCGCGAGCTGGATAATGCCGCTCGTAGGAAATGCCCTGGGAATGAGCTGGAACTCCGCTCACCTCATTCATGTATACTTGTTTATGATGTACTGTATTGTCAACTAAAGAAGTGTGAACTCAACTATGCCTTCGTCCTCGTTAACGTATTGTTCATCTTAATTATAAGGTAATTACCCTGTCAACCATATACCATGCGTTGACAGATTTCCTGCAAATCTGACTTAACATGTGACTCAGGACATGCCTGCAAAATGGCCTCCATTCTGAGAAGATGCTGAAGACCTGTCAGACCAGACTTGAGACATTGCTTCTCTCTGCTTGACTCGCATCCTGTGTCATTAAGCCAGTAATCAGGGGAGGTTCTGGATGATGAGTTTAACGTCGCCATTTTGTCCTTTAACATGTGCAGCTTGTCCTTTGTCACATGATCAAGAAACTGAACCAAAATCCAGAGTAGGGAATTGAAGTTAGTGGCTCTTTGTAATAATATACACAATAGAATTGAAGATTTTCATGTTACTGTATCTTGTAAAACTCATCTAAACTAATATCGATTACAATTTTAGAAATTTGAAATTATTTTGAAGTATCCCGTATTTTTAAAAAGTATGTACCTGTAATGTTCACAGGAATAATGTAACACAATAATATACAAAATGTGTATAGCATCCATGCATGATTTAGAAACTAAAACAGTCTAAGGCTTCACAGAAAGGAACGATATTTGTATGTTGTTTAATCACGCACTTATAAACTAAGAATGCAAAATCCGTAATGCATATACTCCTCAAGTTCCAGTTTGATACTTAGTTCCATACTTTGTTAATACCTATGTCAGTCGGTGTAATGGAAAGCTGGTTAACCTCCGAGTTCAGTGGGTTCAGCATGGTTAGTGTCAGTCTGTTGATCTGAGCTACCTGGATTAATTACATAGCCTTTGTATTGACAGTTACACTACCTGGACTAGTGTCAGCTGTCAGTGTCATCGTCACTGGTTTGGCACAGCAGTCGTGACAAATAGATACTTGGAATCAATGAATTCCAATTATCAAGTATTGATGCCCAGGGCACATCTTTCCTGATATATGGATGCAGTCAACTTTGTTGTGTACAAGGTCGAGTGTTGATAAGCTAGGTTTATCAAGGCCTTGAAGTC